AATGGAAAATGATCAAGCAATGATGATATTGGGTCAACATTTGACTCGTCTAAGATACGCGAACTATTTTTTTTAAAGCGGGTTCAGTAAACTGTTAAGCATGATAAAACTTTGAATTTGTTTTAGGTATGGACTACAGTATCCAATAATGTAGGCCAAAGCAAAATTCTTGTTGGCCTTTCCCATCTGGCAATTTTCGCGTTGAACGATCTTGCTAATCACGCCGGAGAATGAAGCCCGTAGAAGAGAAAAAGTGTCATTGAAAAATGCACATTTATTTTATACGTCGTTCAATATATTTTACACCCTGCTGCTTGCATAGCAAAATACGGCGAAATAGTTTTTTACCACCTTCAGAATAGTGGCAATTCGTACTGTTCAGCGATACTGTATTTCAGCTCCTCGATCGTTCTCGGTTTTCGAGGATAAACGGTTTGCTTTCGATATGCTCACAGAAAGAAATTTAAGGTGATCTTGGAGGCCATTCCTTCCATCATCCTCGAACCATCCATCCATCTGCAGTTAAATTCCGAATAGAAGAAACGTATCACCACCAGACCAGTGTGTGACCGTGTACCGTCATGTTGTACCTAAAGTGTGGTCCCAACTACAGTTGTACTGTTCCTAGATAAGCGGTTGAAAAAACACTGGTAATTTTAATCTCTTCTTATCTACCCCCGGTATAGTGGCACTCCATCAGACAGACAACTGAAGCTTTTGGTACGGGTGGTTCATGGGACGCACCTCTAACGAACCGGGGCCAGAGTTGTCGCGACTTACAACAGGAAATCTGCTCGTTCATCCTAGTAGGTAACATTACAAACGTTGGTTATCCCTCACTTGTTTGGACAATGTAAACATAATCCGCATATTAATTACGAAGCAGCCACCTTTTGCCTTATGCGCATTGATATTAAGCCAGAACGGTCACCGTAAGTGATACACTGTGCTACTCACGTATCCTTTGTCTCACTCTCTCTCTCTGTTTGATCACACACCATGCGCCTTCCAGTGGGGTTCAGCACAGGGCGAAGGGGGACCAAGGTCAATTCTGGAAATTTCCGATGACTATTTTCACGTGAAACTTGTCACGCCATGTTGTATCATCATGACATGACTGAGGTCACGTTTTCACCCTGCACTGTGCAAGGTACTGTCCAAATATCATCATGACATCTTGAATTGAAAAAATATGGTAATCTTTGTATGCTTGTATACACATTCATTCACGCAAATTGATCAAACTCATGTGCTGAATGTATGTGCTAGTTTGTTTTTAAGTCAGCGACTGAGAAGACCGAACGAAATGGTACCTACCATCTCGCGACATTTGTATTGATGAAATGAATATTTAAAAGAGGGGATGCGTCATGTATAGAGCAAATTAAGCGTGAACTGAAAGTCCACGAAGCGTTGTTCAGTTGTTTCGACCTAGTATGGTCTCATCCGTGCAATGAGCGAATCCAACAGGGTACCACAAACCCGGACCTCACAGGCAAAACGCAAGAGTGCTATCCGCTCGGCCGTCGGACAGCTGATCAGAAGACCCTTTTTCATAATCCGTTCACACAGGTGGTGGTGGCGCAGTGATTTAGTCGCTTTCAACAGCGTGTTTCGAATTATATGATCCGGGATTCGAGTCCCACTGCCGCGACCTAAGTTTGGTGGTAGGCAACTCTGCTGTCGTCCGGTTCAATGTCACGCTTAACCTATCGGCGCCTTATGTGGTTCGACACTCCAAGTCCCGTGGCTTAGGTTTCCGGTATCCTCCACTGTACAGCAGGTTCTCGTGGCTATGAGGTTCCACCCAGCCTTCTGTTCATCACCCTTAAGCATGTAGTTAAAACATTAGCGCAACCCATACCTGCGAGTTTTCTGCCGGCCATGGACCTCGCTCATCCCAGCACTCTAGCCTCCAAGAGTAATGACTCGGCGGGAACCTTTCGTAACCAGCTTAATAATTTAACCAATCACTCATTCATTTATATATATATATATATATATAAGTGATAGCACGTTGGAAATTAGAACCACAGTGAATGCGAAATGGGGCTGAACAAACCGTTTTCTTTTTCGGTCCCTCCGCGTACAAATCCAGGCAATAAAACCAACACAAACGGTCAGAAGCGCCAGAACCAGAGTGACCACAACGATGGGGATAAGTATTTCCCGATAGCGTGATTGCTGAATGCGGAGAGCGAAGAGGGGATAAACAATGTGCGTGGTTTAGACCGAATAGGATGACGCGCAAAACATCAGTGTTCAAAACAAAAATAAATTAACCATACTGTTTCAAAAATAAAACAATTTGAAATAGAGTATTTTGACCGCTACCAGGAGAGCACCGCTAGCATGGAATTGAATTGCTTAACAGTTAACAACCTCGAATGGATGGGACCCGCTTGGGAATATTCCGTCTGCTTTTGTACGATGCGCATTATAATATCTCAGTTACAAGGCCCAAATTTCATGTGCTTTTGGAACGGAAAAGAAACCTGATGCAGTGTCTTGTTACCAGGGTGTACAGAATATGTTGTATAGACGATACCATTGATACAGAATAAAGGCTCATTCAAGACGTTTTCCTTCGAAATGAATACTCAGAGCGATTTGCGGACAACATTTTCGGGTGTCACTGGTTGCCAAATAAGATCACCACTGCTGAGAAGAAACCGATTTACATATCACTACCTTTCGAGGGTAACACAATTGCCGATATGATTAGTGACACGTAAGCTGATTACAGAAAAAGCATTCCCCGCAACAAAACTGCGCAGTCTGTTCATCTCCAGGCCACTTGTGCACCTTCAACTGAAAAATAAATTGTCTGTTTCTGCCGTCTCTTTTTGTGATTACTTATTTAACTATTGTTGTGAGACGAGGTACGAGAAAATGATTATGTGGATGAATCCTGACTGAACATTGGAGTAATTAAGATTATCAACAACTCAAGCGTTCCACACCAAGTGGAATCAAACCACAAGAGTAATGTGGCCGAGGCATTTCGATTGGTGTACCTAGTTCGCAGCTGTCAACCTCAGGGGATTAGGAGTCGCCTTTTGACCATAGGGGGAACGATCGGAATCCATCTACGTAACTCCACACGCACACCAACCCTCTAAGCTCGCAAAAGCAATTCGTAAAAGCACCCGGTCTTCTGTGGCCAACATCACACACGACACAGTCATCCACATATTCACCCCTAATGAACCGAACCCATGGGCATGTGTGACGTCCAAAGTGTGTGCAACATCCGTTGTTGATTCTTTTTCTTTACCAACTTGCCATGATTTCTTCCGTCTACTGAACAGTTTGGTATACATTGTGATGTTTTAGCCTGTAAAAGAACCACTACAAACGAGCTTATTCGCTACTCTGTGTGTTCTTCTAACGATTCGTATGGATGGCATTTGCAGAAAATTAAAAGGTGTCCTTGATGAAGTCCCTGTATCTCTATGTGGCATTCAACTAAAGTAATATCGGTGCTGTCTGATTGATCAGATAACTCATCCGATTGTGGAGGCTATACCAATGGAAAGCCCAGATATCTTCCATGTCCGGGTTCAAATCTCATCAATGCTTCCGATATTTTCACAGTTCACAAAAAATGACCGAATGAGACCGGATAGGTTGATTGATTTCCAACTGAATCCAGAGAGAACAGTCGAAAATAGTTAAAGTGAACGGTTTCTAATTTAGTCACGTGTTTCATTTGCTTATGACTGCCTACACATTGATTGTGATGATGATGGTAGCAAATTGGTCGTCATGTTTGATTTTTTCATCTTATCCTAGAGATTGTACAGCAGAAAGATTGTTCCATCCCAACTGGTCGTTCGCTCTGAACACTGATTGCCTCGTTCAATGTCTATCAGAATAATCAACTGTCTTCATTTGTTATTCCGTCTCACATTCACGAGTGGGCGGTGGAAGCGAATCATTGTTCACGATTGCATCAGGTTATTTCAACTGATTTGAATGGTGTCGCATAATCCCGAATTCCCGTTTCGTTGCCAACCGGATTGTCCTAATTGGGGTACAATAAAAATTGCTTTTGTCACCGCTCTTTCATTCTAACGTCATGCTTTAATCAGACCTCGGGAAATATGCATGAATATCATTATTATCTTAGTGTGGGGTTTTCGACGAGATTGGTATAGGGATATGTAGTCTTTTAAATTCGTCCAATAATGCCTGAAGGATAAGTGATTGCAATCCGCATCCAAAATGGACTCTGAACATCCGTCTGGTAGCATTTAGCCACAGCAAGAGGGGTTATTCATAAAACAGCTGGAAAATAAACATTGACATGGATCAGATATCACATACAAAACAGTTGTCCGGAATAGGTCCAGTCCGGGCTTTCCGAGTAGACCAGTTTCTCGAGAACAAACAATCCAAGTTAGTCTCTTTTTACACTATCCGACAATAGTCACTGTACACAGAGCTGCCTTATTCAGATTACAAATGTTTGCTTTTATGATCTGTTTAAGGAATTGATTGTCTTTGGGGATGAATGATAAGATTGGAGTTAACAGACGACCAACACATGAGTTGACCATTTGGTTGGCATAGTGGTAACACACACACACACACACACACGCACACACTCCTCCTAAGCGGAGTTCAAATCTCAGACGGGATGGTGGATATGCACTACTGATTAGCTCTATCAAGAGCTAAATTTGAGTCTAATGCTTGCAAGTGTATGGTTGACTGGATGCACTGAGGATTTTGCTCGAAGGTGACCTCCGAACGATAGTCAGTTCAAATCAATATTCAAGAAACTCGTTCTCCCGCTCATCCGGTTTCTAAATCCAGGGTGTCAGTCTATTATTAGGATCAATACTGTTAGTGATTACATGAGTTGATTTAGAAGTCTTTGATTCTCGGAAACTACTATTCAGCGGCTACACTCACCACGGAGTTGGTTCTCTCCTTCGACAACAAGCACGATAGCAGTGGCAACCGATAACTTTCTTTTCTGAATTCAATAACTGGCCTAGTCCATGTAGAGTGTCTTGAGCCGCGAACATTTTATGACCTATCTCGGGATTGGCCACTTTAAAAATCTCCGGAACAAACAAAACTTTCCGACCGTTAGAGACAACTGTCCTTTCACACACTCTCCGCCACATTTACAGCACGTACACGTAGTCTATCTTCCGTCTCGACATTCCTGTCCAGTCTGTCAACCATCCTGTTTTTCTGGTGTAAATTTTGAATCTTCTAAAGCACTTCAAGTTTGCCATAAGGCATACTTATGATTCAATAAATCCGGTGCTTGCTGAACAGCCTGAGTCCGAAGAGGGATGATCAGTTCTAGTCATTATTAAACATAACTGTGAATTAGTTCATGAAACCAGCCTTGCACTTCTTGAATCCAACGAGGCACGTGCTTGTGCTAGATCAGCTCATCGATCGAATTCCAGCAGAGACTCAGTCTCACATATCACTTGCACAGTTCCCTTGATACACACACCGATATATATGTATATATATATATATATTCACATACTAATTATTAACAAATATATGCTGTAAAGACGATCAAGTCACGTTTGTTGCGGTTAGAAGCATCTAACCCACTTGTGAAAAGACTGAATCCTGGCATTGGTTATTTAATGGACTAGCTCTAAAAGAGCTGCCAATCCAAAAATCATCCGGTGCTGCGAACAAGATTATTGTGACGAAAATACACGTCCTGGGCACCAGTATATGAATAAACTGCCAAAATATTACCAGATACGCATACCTAACGAGCGGCAAGATTAGTGAAACCGCTCATGTGCTTCCGAGGAAAGTTTGTCCAGTCATTCACATACTACTTATTATGAAATACATATATAGTACAGTTTTTCTCTTTGTCTCCTTTTTCTCATTACGATTCGTGTTAACAATACGTGCGTAGTATGATATTATTGCTTGTGCAAATAAAATGTGAGCTGAAAATCTAGGAATCTTTGGACAACTGGTTGTGTTTTATCATCTTGGGATCGAGCCCGGGAACTCAAAGGCAGAATGCAAACACGCCGCCTAATGCTTCACATCTGGCGAAGATGACTTGTGATATATTATGGAGAGGGCACATCAGGTGCCTGGTGTTCCGGAGTGTAGTGAACTTGTGTTCTATCTGCATATTCCGGGGTTCGATCCCTAGTTTGTTCCTGACTAGGTTGACACAATTGTCCAATGTTTCCTAGCTTTCCAGTTAATAATTCAGTTATGCGACGGATTCATCGTACAATCAAATCGAATATTGCACCACTCGGATGTAATTATCGTTGTGTGATGTCGCTACTAAGTGTAAAATCTTCTGGTGGCAGCGCGGAGAAAATCACGATGTTCGACCCATATTAATTACTATTACTATTACATCACAAGTATATCTTCACAGCAGAAGTCCAGCAAAATAAACTCAATGTAAATAGTATTCGGGGGTGTTCAGGGTAGAATAATTTTACCATAGAGTTTCGTCGCNTGCTTGAGCTAAGTGTATCATAATAATGAGATCTTTTTACTTGACGTTTCGAGCGGTGAAGTCTTAAAGACGTTTCTGTATTATTGACCTGGGGTTCGTGTACTAGAGTCACAGGCCTCTTTCGTATCTTCCGGACACTGTTTGATTGGTTACATACCTCTTTATGAACAGAGAATATGTAATTGCATAACACGACGGTAATAATAAGAAAGGTGCATCTTATTCAGAGTACAAATGAGCTTTATAACCATCCGCAGGTGAAACAATCAGCCTAACGAAAGGAAGCACCCAACTACAACTGGAATTTAAGTTTGATGGCTACACATTTGGACTAGTTAATCGAAGCAGATACAAACTCCCAGAGGCATGAACCCCATAAAAGATGTGATCTGCTTCACAGAGGAGAGCAGGTGGTTTGAGGAGCGAAGACTTTGCTGATTCTGCGTGAATCGCGGTAACATTTGTAAGGTGTATCAGTGCGCGCACACAGAAAAACAGACACAATGGGAAAACCGTTTTGTCTGTTCATGGTCATCAGGCTTCGTCCAAATGTCAACAATTACAGTATTTTTGTTCAATTTACATAGTTGACCTTTCTCAGATTCCCAATCACATAGATTTCTTTGATTGGCCAGTTATGAACAAGTATAGGTAGAAAAATCGATTTATTGGGAATTTCCGTTGTCAGTCATTCGGTTGCACATGATGCATGATTGCATGCTTTTTCATCGTGCACACAAGAAGGCAGAACACAATCACTGAAACCCATGCTCGACTTATAAACACACACTTCAGAGACAATGTGCTCTCCATCTGCGTTGTCTAGGGTGCCCTATACGGACGGTTTCACCGCCAACGAACAGCATAAGTGTGCATAGATGGGGCGATCAGCCTGAATTTTTTTCTCTCCAGTTTTCGCGGACACATTTTGAACAGTGCCGTTTTTCATATCAAATTTGGTGAGACTGTGAATGGATGGAACCTCTGTATCACTCTCCGTTGATGTCTACCTGCCTGTTTGTCTATCTGTCTGTCCGTCTGTCAACTTTATTTGTACATGAGTGACTGCAGATATCCAGTGATTTGTAAACCAAACACTTTCAACAAAACCTGTTGCATCTATAGAGTGAGTGCTTTGGTTTGTCGGATGGATGTACGGGAAACTTATCGTTTGAAACTGGCGAGCTGGTGTCAACCAACTAACTCAGTTCAGTTTAAAAGAGTAGCTATGATAGCGATACCTTTATGTTGATACTGTGATATGATGGCTCTAAAGAGACAGTAAATGTTACCCACAGCATTAAGTCTGACATAAAATTCAATATCAGTTCGCGCGGTTTGCAAGACAGGGTTAGTTATCTGCTTTATCCTAAACAGAACAACGTATCTGACTAGCTCTGGGAACCTCATTTTGACCACAGTTGGGGTGAAATTTCGGACTATGGACTGTTACCTTTACACCCTCTGCACCTCGTGAACTGATGCTATTTGATCAATCGTGTCGAATAGCCTTTCATGCGGAAGCTCTACTCACTGTCTTCTCGTGTTGCGAAGATGTTTTCCCAACAAAATGAACGAATGAAAAGGGGAATACCGGTGCCTACCAGATGGGTCGCTGAACTATTGGCCAATATTGCTGATTCTAAACAAACCACACACACACGTTCCTGGTTGTAGCGGTGGTCACCTGCTTGATATGGCTATCGAGATGTAATGGACCACATGGATGTTTCAAACCATCCAAAGGGCTTATAATGCAATGTACTGAATAACGCACCGTTGCCATGCACATCAGACCTTGGTTTGGGTTTTGAATTCACAAAAATATTCACCTACCGTGACCTCGGCAAACTGACAAGATCCCATCAGGAGCAAATTACAGATATAGTTTGTACTGAGATATTCTTCAAATGCAATCGTGCATGCGTGAGTGCACCTGTGCACCGACTACAACGCAAACAGAAGTGTAAGGTTCCGGTTACAGTTTGCGGTGAATGTGATGAAAACCGTCAATCAATACCAGACAACGATGACGCGTAGCCCATTTGACGGGCGCTATCCCGGAGGATTGGTCAGACCTTGGAATTTTGGCCGTGCTTTTGTCAAATTGGACAAGTGATTACGACTTTGCAGCGGATACTCTCGACGGTGCACGTTTACATCAATTCATCCATTTTTCAAGTACTGATCCTCAATCATGAAGTCTCTTTGTGTTTTCGCGTATAACATCCGAATTTCAGATTTCTCTCATTCTCATTACAAACGGCTAGAAAATAGGAGTCCATGTTATTATACAAAATCATCCCACTGATTGGCGGGGTGCGTTAAAATGAAGTTCGACCAACAGCGTGAAGATTCCGTCTATTTTCTCAAGTAATGTTGGCTCGCACGTGGTAAAAATGGGCGATGACCAAAATCCGGGGCATTAGAGACATTCCAAAAGTGTGGGAGTCATTTTACTCTGGA